ATGATGAACCACACTGCAAGTGGGGAAAATGCCGAGTTTAAGCGCGAGACAGGACAGGAGCAGACAGTTGACAGTGTGTACAATAAACATATATGGTGAATAGTTTCACAGTTGATACGATCCAAAAGCATATAAATGCGTTCAGTGGAAACCGTGGGAGAAAGACCGGAATAAAAGCGTTAAACTCAATAACATGAAACATAGTATGGCACGAGCAAATGTTATGCGGATCGTTCATGTGTTGCGCCAGACGTGAGATCACATCGAGGGGGGAGGGAGAGACGATGCACGGGATGTGAAGCATCCTGGTAAAAATGCATAGAATCAAAAACAAGTGGAAAGAAGCAATTTGTGGCATAAATGTCCGAAATTAAAGGAAAATCAAAGCATAAAAAGTAACTAGACAGAAAGAGAGAGAGAAACCGGGATGATGAGCGACATCCGAGAGAGAGAGTATCAAATAAAACGGACAGGACGACGACAGAGGAGGGCGGGGAGAGGGAGATAAGGATGACTAGCAACGATCATTTGTACCCAAATGCATTCGGAATAGTGGCACAAATGAAGACGTGAATAAGTAATGCGAGAGCTAAATGCATCATCATCATGCGCACCAACAACCATAAAATAATGCCTGGTTCTCACACACACGTTCATCTATGAAGCAAATTAAATTAGACCGAGCAGCACAAATAACGTATTCAATGCGACCCGTTCAAATGTATCCAAAAAAGAAACAACTGATGAGGAGCCCCGTAGGTGGGACAGATTGTGGGGGTAGGGCGGGGCTGAGAAGGCGAGGGCAGGATGAAGATTAAACGCATATGGCATAATCAAATCGCGATTCGAGATCGAAGCAAACATTGCACATTTGTTTCCGGAAGGAAGGGAACACAGGAGTAGACGAAACGCAATCAAAAAGGACAAACATCGCAAACTGAGAGGCCGGGAGGGGGGAAGGGGTGAAATAATGTGACTGCGAGGATGAACAGAAGACTGTCTAACTTAATCAGCTGGTGAAAAAATGTACCCTCCTTCAGTGAACTTATACGCAGGATTCTCATATCCGTTCAATTGCCACCGAGTCAATGGATCGACCGAGTCATGGTTCTCACCCAAATTGGTAACGCCACCGGACACGGGACCACCACCACCAGTGCCCGTACCAACTATGCCGGCACCGCCACCCACGGTTAGTCGACCGCGACCAAGGCCGTGTCCGGTTGAGGCTTCCGTATTGGCCACCTCATCCACTTCAACTACGGTTAGATTGTATCCGGCACGCTGGAGACGCATACGGCGAACATAGCAACGAGCGATTAATACCACGGCGATGAGGAACACAAGACAAGCCAGAACGGCAGGGACCACAATTTGAGCTCGATTGCTGTTCCGTTTTGGAGCGACCGAAGCTTCCGAATGTGGATGACCTATAGCACTCGCCACAACCGGTGCCGATGATGAAATGGACTGTCACGAAAATGTTACAAAAGAGGGGGGGAATCATGTAGATGTGTAAGCGTTACAGTTCCAATAAAAGTGTGGCAAACACGGTACCAGATACAAAATATTGTATTCCTGGTCCAGAATCGGTAGGTTTACACCTTATAAAATTTTGAATAAGTGTCAGTCACACCAACGTAACTAAATCAATGACGGAGAAACACAGTCCTATCAATAATTAGTCTCTAAATTCATGGTGTGGGATATAGTTTCAGCTTTGGACATAATTTTATTCGAATTACCTCACGCGTTAGAAAAAATTATCATTCCATGGAAAAATAAACCAATGTGAGCTGTGAATTCGAATTTTCCAAGCCGATAGCACACACTAAGACCACTTTGAGGATGAAACCATTATTTGCACCTTGGACAAATCACCTGAGCGATCAGTCAAAGACAACTGACTAACGATTATTACCCCTCGCTGGTGATATTGAAATCGCTTCTGTTATGCTCATGTCGAACTGGACAAGTTTTGTAACACGATGTACTGCTCAATAATGGTAACAACTTGTTTTACACCAGAAACCTTGTCCAATCCCATCCCGAGGGAACGGCAAATGGCTCAAGCGATATTGATTGCCGTTTGGAGACATGCATGTCCGATTACAAAAAATCTCAGCAAACGTTGGTATAAAAAAAAAGACGCAAACAGGTGTTGCCTGTGTGTTTAATGTCTTGCCAACATGTATTCTAAAAGTCCCCTGAAACGAGACGGGCCAATAAAGGTGAC